ACGTCACTTCCGATGTAAGAGACCCGGACCCATTAACACCGGCGCACCTGCTTTATGGACATCGTATTACATCCCTTCCATATGATGGCAATACACAAGAACCACAGAATGTTACAATGTCTGACGTAACAAAAAGGGCAAGAATGCAGGCACAACTTATCTGTCATTATCACAAATATCTTACGTCACTGCGTCAGTACCACACAACAACAGGATACAACATCAGACAGTTCAGGTTGGCGACGTTGTACATATTTATGATGAATCGCCAAGGACGCAGTGGAAACTAGGCGTAATCCAGCAGTTAATTTACGGTAATGACGGCCTCACACGAGTAGCAATTTTACGCACGAGTAATGGACTGGTCACTTCGAGACCTATCGTGAAACTGTACCAATTAGAAATCATTTCTACATCGTAATCATTTCGTGGCCGGGATAATGTCGGAAAGACTTACGCTATGTGTAGGCGGGAACAACAACGACGCATTGACGGCGGGAATCAAGATGACGTCAACGTATATACCAACGTAACTACCGCTTACTTGTCTATTATTGAGATATTAAAATTGACGGCGGGAATCAAGATGACGTCAACGTATATACCATCGTCACTACCGCTTTACTTGTATATTATTGAGATATTAAAAGATAGAAACAAAACACAACGCGACGCTTATATATCTATACCCCACACGTGTCTTTAAAATATTCAAACATACATCACAAACTCCTTGGTTTAACCAAACATCAGAAAATCCAAATTTAGATAATAACCTTTTTACATTGTATACACAACTTATATGATAAGGATGTGATTCAAGTTCACTTTTTAAAACATTGTACAATTTCTTTGCATATTTAACATTATCACTTTGACATGACTTTTACCAGTACCGTATTATATGTATATGAGTTATATAAGAGACTCTTCCGATTTCACCGTAAACAAATGCATTTTGACAACTTATTTTAACACCTAATAATCTTCTGCAAAAACTAAGATGCGCTCTTTCAATATGAGTAGCTTTGTGAAATCCCCATACTTCAGAACAATAATTCATTACAGGCGTAACTAATTTATCATACAAATTTAACATATGTTTAAGTGTGACTGGTGTAAACTAAAACAAATATTTATCAAGTTGAAAAGATGCTTTCAAAGCTTGGCCTGCTAACATTTTGTCCATTTCATTTAAAACACCTCCTGTCGTAGATATAACACCTAGATATTTAAATTTGTTAACAATTTCTATATTTTCATCATTAAAAGTGAATACTAAATTTTCAGGAATACGTCCAGCTTTTCTAAAATCACAATTTTGTCTTCTTAGTATTGACAGTAAGCTTCCAATTTAAAACAATATTCTTGTAATACATTTAAGGAATTCTGTAAGTCATCTGCAGAATAAGAAAATAATACAATGTCATCCGCATACAATAGTAGACATAGTTTCATGGGACCAATATCAATGCCCTCTATACCTTTATTTCTTCTATATCGTTTAAATCATGCTAAATAGGAAAGGTGATAGACATTCACGGACCTCTAAATGACGGACTCCTAAATGACACTCAAAAACTTCACTTAAAGAGTTAAAAAAATTTAACTAGTGATTTCACACACTCATATACATGTATTGACTTAATCACATTTAAAATGTTCCCTCTTACTACTCCTAATTTTATTAGTTTGTACCACAAAATCAAAGGCCTTTTGAAAATCAACAAATGCAAAAAAGTTATTCTTTATTGTTTAACCCATATTTAAACATTTATTAAATAATTGGAATAAATATGGTAGTAGTATGTCTATACCAATCAATTCATTGAGTAATAGATCGGGTCCTCCACTAGCACTGTTCTTAAGCTGTTTAACCGCTTTTACAATTCCTAAGTTACTTATCTCTGCGTCTAATTAGAAAACATTACTTGAAGTTCCCCGTTTTAATATCTATCGTTAAAAAATAATATATCTTCATCTGCCTGGTAAAAAGTATTTTCCGGGTTATTAATTGCTTTAAAATATCTGGCGAAATGTTCTGTTGAAGGTAACATTGAATTAACGGTATTACCAGATAACCCTTTCAACATTTTACAATACCGCTTTGCATTTTCAACCATGGCTTTAATCAATTAATTTGTATTTAATTGTCTATATCTATAACGCTTTTCCTTTAACATATGTTATACTGCGACCTTGCTCTGCACGTATTAACTTTATAACTATCACTTTTACAATTTCGATACACATTTAGGCATTTATAGAAAAAGTCTTGTTTTGGCGCACATTCATGGTCAAACCATTTTTGCTTCATATCTACATGTATAACAGGAGTATTTACTGGGCTTTTCGGTACATGCTTAAATAGAGCAAACTTTGTCAATTAAAGTTTAAAAACAAGATATGTTTTCGTCAACATCATTGCTATATACCACAGTGTTTAATTCAGGTGTAAGATTATTTAGTTATTGTACCACTAAATCCTCAGACAGATTTCGTTTATAATCATGTAACTTATCTGTATTCCATTTTACCTATATTCTATATTGCTACAAACATTTTCATTTAACAATCTAGAAACAAAATTTCAAGAGAATTGCAGACTCGGTTTGATTGAGTCTGTACATAAATCTATATCTTGCAATTTTGCAGAAAGGCTAAGTGTTACAACACAATTGTTAAGAGAGTTAAACAATTTAAAAATGTTTCCAATTGCTAATACATAATCAACTAGTCTATTTCCGAGCGGACCAATAAATGTGTATTTCCCTATACATGTATTTGCATTTTTTCCTATACGACCGTTTAGTATTCTAAGGCCAGGTTGCTTACAAAAGTTTAAGCAATGTTCCATTCTGGTTTGTCCCAAATTCTTGAGACATTCTTGGTAAAACATGACCTCGCACATAATTATCAGGTAGAAGGGAGCTTATATGTATATCTAAGTCATCATCATTGACATAGTCATTCAACTGACCAACTCGGCTATTTAAATTCCTTAGAACTATAAAAGAACAATTGTCATTTGTGATACTACTAATTTTTACAATTTCATTTAAAACTCTATCATATATATTTGACAAAATGAAAGCTTCTTTTGAGCTTCATTTCGGTACTACATAACAAAGACACAAACATATATCATAATGTAAATCAAATAATAAACCGTCAATTTACAGCCAAAAGATATCATCGTTATCTGTGCTGTATAAAGACACAAAATCAATCAAGACAGTTTTACGTATCCAGCAACGCCGCCCGAGTTTCTTTTACTATAGCTATTTTTCTCCGACCGATGAAGACTAAATAACTCAAAACCGTCAACCTTCATGTTAATACATTCACTCGAGCAAGTTTCTGTCAAGAAAATCATACTGTAATCATCGAATGAATTCCGTAATGTGGGCGTTTCTAGTTTATTAAAATTTTTGAAACGAGACACTGTACATTTAAAAGTGCACATCTAATAGCTTGTCTCTCCCTAATGTCCTATTGTCCGGTGAGTTTCTAGTGATTTTCGATTATCACGGAATCAGGTGGAAAATCATGACCGCCCGTGCCACTACCGTTCACTAGGTTGTCACGCTTCCGTGCCGTCTGTCGTCTACCGTTTAAACAGACGATACATTTCTTAAATGGGGTATATTTTGCGAGCTAGATGCAGTTCTCGCTGTTACTTGGCTATACGTAGGATGTGTAGATGACTGAATTCGTGGTGATATGCGATATGTTTGGTTTCGACTATCGCTAGGGTGCACCAGCGATTGTGAAAATTGAGGGTTGCTAACTGAGTTATCGGCTTCTGTTGAAACAGAGTTGACACGTTGGTTATGTTTACTATGCGAACTATTTTGCCACATAAACATTTTACACCTGTCTTGGTTCAAAATTTCATGCCAGTCGGGGAACTCGTCTGCTATAACTCGGCCCTTTACAATGAGTTTCGCTGGATAGGCGAATTTTACCTCTGAGCCTTGCAAATCTCTTTTGTTGCGATAACGGCCAAAAAGTCGTTTTCTTGTGCTAGCAATTTCCTTCGGATAGTCCCTATCCATACTAAATCGTGCATGCTTCAGTTTTCAAGTTTGCTGAAGGATGAACTTTGTGCCGCCAAAATCTCGAAAAGCGACAACTATTGGACGTCTGGGAGTTTGCGTAAAACCACTAGCGCGACGTACAGAGCCTAAACGGTGCACACGCTGGACAAAATATTCCCCTAGGTCGAAATCTAGATGGTCGCTGCAAAACTGCGAAAGAAGTTCGTATGTATTCTCTGCCCTGACATCAGCTAAGCCGTAAAATATAAGATTATATTATTGCTCCTCGAGCGCGCTTCAGTGTCTATACTGTGATAGGCTAACATCTCTCACGCTAATAACATGCTCCAGATTATCTTCTTTTCGTATATTGTTATCATTTTTTTCGGCCATTGACATAAAAGTTTTATCATTTGCATCTAATTTTTCCAATTTTCTGAACATCATGACTAATTTCTCATCAGTATATAATGAAATAAAAGAAGATTCACTATTCGAATTCATATATGAGCTACCTGTACTGTCCAATGCATGTTTCTGTCCCCCTCCTATGTTTATTAGTGTCTGTCTGCTCACATCCTACCTACTGCAGCGGGAAATATCTGTCAGAAGTTGGCACGACAAAAGTCACATTTTTGTCTATTTTGGTGTACTTGTTTATGTAGAAATGTACTAGGTCTAATACAGAAAATTGATTTAAGAGCAATTTTTAGACCGAATTGTGTCTTAATTTTTCATTTTTTAGTAACTAAATTTTGCGCAATTAAGGTGATAAGTAAAGAAAAGGGTAGCGAGCATTCTTTTAAAGCTCTGAAATGTTGAACATAGTATTGATATAGACCTAAATATTTTTTTTTAAATATCTTAAAAACAGTTCTGACCCAGTCATGTCAATGAATTCCTCAGTTGAGTCACATTGATAAGCACTGTCATCTAAGAATTAATAGTTTAATAGAATACCTTTAATTGCCGCTATGTCTTGTCTAAGTTTGTTAAGTTCTGTATCTTGTTTTCTGTTTTCTTTGTTGATTTCTAAAGATTTATTGTTGATATCTTGTCTAAGCTCTTTAAGTTCTGTTTCTTGGGTACCATTTGCTTTGTTTAGAACTTCAAGCTTTGCTCGAGTGGCATTTATCTGTAAATCAATACGATCAACACGATTTATCTGTTCAGCGTGCTGGCTTTTCAAGTTGTTAAATTCTGTTCGAAGTTGACGCAGACGAACCATTAAAGCATTCAGATCATTTAATCCACAATTATCATTGTTGGCAGGAACCACATTCAAGTTATCAATGATAACGAGTATAAAGAGAAGAAATTTCATTTTTAATAAACTTTGATATTAAAATGTCCGCATATAATCAACAACAACAATGTCCATTTATAAACTATTATTATGTTGGAGTTTAAATTTGATCCTGTTTACCAAACAGTCTGAAAGCGTTTAACAAAATAAAGATATATTGTGTTCAGTTACAGGTAATTAATTTTTCCTCTCGACAATTATCATACACCTTCTAATGAAAGCCCACATCATATTTCATTAATTTTTATACTGTTCTGTACACTACCGTCTCGTATGAGATAGAGAGATTAAATGTAATGAAGCTCTGTTCAGTAAATGTGCCTGCCTGTGATTGAAATTATGTCCGGAGGGGGTTAAAGATATGGTTCTTGAATTAATAGGGTAAAGGTATGTTTCTTAAATTAAAGTAGTTAAAGATATGATTCTTGAATGAATATGGTAAAGTATGGTTCTTGAATTAGGGGGTGGTTAAAAAGATACAATTATGTTTTTTTAAGTAATGGGGTACAGGTGTGGTTCTTCAATACCGATAAGAAGTGTCAAAGATAAGGTTCTTTAATCAATTGGGGACGGATATGATTCCTGAATTAAAAAAATGAAAGATAAAATGTTGGTTCTTTAATCAATTTGGTAATGGAATGGTTCAAAAATTAGAGTGATTAAAGATATGGTTCTTTAATTAATGTGGTACAGGTACAGTTCTAGAATCAGAGGGTTTAAAGATATAATACTTGAATTAATGGGGTACAGGAATGGCTCCTGAACTAGATGGGTTAAAAATATGGATCTTTGATTAAAGGGGAACAGGTAGGGTTCTTCAATTAGAGGGGTTACAGTACAAATTATGTTAAGATCAGGAAGTTTTAAAATGTTATGTATTATGACACTGCTATTCATTACTACAATAAATGATAAAAATGGGGAAAGTATTATGATAGAGTTAATAGAAATTGAAAAATAATATCTGTGATGTTAACTTCCTGCTTTCAAATCCTGTATTCATATTTTTTTAATAATGATATTTAATACTGAAATTAATATTTCAATACTGCATTGCGGTAATGCATAATTTACAGTTAAAAAAAGAAAAAGAAAAAAGAAAATAAATCTGTTTTGTCACTTGGCTTTTCATTATGATTTCAGAAGAAAGTAATTTTCAAAAAATGTACGAAAAGTAGAAATTTTAGTTCAGTATTTTGAAAACACCAGGAATCATAGGAGGCTTTAAAAAAGCTATCGAACTTAAATAAATGCGTATGAAAAATATTGCTAGTTATTAATGCACTGAAGTCGTAAATGCGATTTTTATGGTTAATATTCTCGTTCTGACTGACTTTGCGTTTAAAAAATATGATATATAAGGTTTTATTTACGTTATTCATAAACACAAATGGTTTCGTATATTATTAAATCTGTTCTGCCGTGAAAATATAGATATTATAAAAATAATCATTAAAGATATAATATTTATTTTAAATAGTTGTAATAAAACATTAAAAATTTATTTTCAAAGTCTTTTATCAGATACCGTTATTGAAAGAATCATTGTGTTTCTATATGCTCGAGAATATATAATTAGATCTATACAAATTATGTACAAATTCTACCGACAAAAACTGTCAACTTATTGTTTATATAAACATGTTAAAGTCTGATTGGTAAATTCAAATTATAGCATTATTAAATAGCATTATTAAAATAAACTCAAGAAGCTGACAGAGATAAGATTTTTTTGGTATTTTACAAGTTATTTTATGTACGGATTTTACTGTTTACTGTTTATGTAATAGTATGAAGTGAAGCATTATTTTATTATAAAATAGTAAAGAATTGTTCTATATAAGTTAACAAGGAATGACATTAATTTTGTACATGTGTACTACAAATTATTTAGTAACTTACATTTTACTATAACATGTTGGATAAATATTATGCATACAATGTTCAAGAAAATGAATTCATTTAAAGTTTTTGAAAACATGTGGATTAAATACAAAGACATGAAATTGTTGATATTGAAAATAGTCTATTTATGTATGTTATATGTATATAATATGTATGTTTATGTAATAATGATAAAAGAAAAGGTTTATTAAAATAAACTCAGGAAGCTTACGACGAGTTTTTATATCTTTAGATTTTGACTTTCAGTCAGTTACAGCTTCCAAAAAAAACAACAACGACGACGAAAAAATATAAGTACTGAAATAAGACGCTGCACAACTCGCAGCACAACATATCTATCCTCCAATCACGCCACCATCATCCGTTCTGAAATAAAGATATTTCAAGTTTTAACCATTACAGTTTATATATCCTAAATGGACTTTAATATTGATTAAATCATTCATTATTTTTAGGGAAAATATTTACAGAATGATAAGCAGTGGAAATCATGTCATCTGACCAGTAGCCGCCAGCAGGTTAATGGCTTAAAGCCTTAACTGTTTCTTCTTGATGACGCATTTTCATATCTGAACTTTGCATATTTAATATGTAAGTTGGCGCAAATAAAGGTTCTTCGTACTTCTCATTGCCATTATTACAATTACATGTACCAATAATACGCAAAATCTTTGTGGTACTAATTTATTTTATAATATTTAAAAAAAATCACAAATTGAAGCAATTTAAAAAAACAAAAGTAAAAAAAGTAATCAATTTTTGTTTCGTTGTTTTTTATTGTCGAGTGCAATTACCAATAAGGTTTCATGTAGTCGTGTTTCAGTATTTATATGATTCAGGCAATTCTCTAAAAGCTCATTATTTTACAAAAAAAAGCAGCTTAAAAATAACATGTTATGAGGATACGTTTATTTCACGTCAGTCCAATTAAAAAAAATGTTTACAAATGATTTTTTTCTGTAATTGCAAACACTACTTGTAGCAAGGAGCTAGCTTTTGGGAATCTCAATAAACAAAAAATGCTCGATAGCATTTACTTCGATCTGCACATATTTCCGTAATTAAAAATGTTAGTGTTCATGTTTTTGGTGACGTATTATGATGTGGCTCAGAACTAAACAAATGGACATTAGCACGCACGCAGTTTCTCTGCCAAAATTCAGTTTAAATCTAACGGAAATTTGTAATTGAAATAAATATAATAAATCATTGTAACCTGCGGTTTTTCGGAAGCTGTGCATTCAGAGTGATATAACTATAAAATAGCTGTTTTGCAATGTTTGATTTTATCAAGTATTTTAAGATTGTAAGTATGAGAACAATGCGTTTTTTTCCTAGAAAAATTGTGTGTATACAAAATGCATGTTCACAAGTTATGTACACACATTAGTTGTTAAAGGCCCATTATGCCTCAGAAATGCTACCATTTTTATTTTTCAAAGTCTTTTTATGTTTGTTATTTTACAACAGTTTCAAAAACAATAGTGCTTGGCATATATACTATGGAAGTCAAATACTACTTTTGTTTACGTTTTAACACATAATTGTACGTTCAGCGCTACTTTCGTCGGTTGTTACATACGTAACATGCTCTAAATTCATTTTTAAAACATTAACATGTTTATCATTTATAAAAAAAATAAGTATTTCTTAGGCACGCATTTTCATTAAAGAAACCATTTCTTTCAATATCTGTATGATAGATACCTGCTTTGCAGATAACTGAATTTTTAGAAGAACAGTGTACGTCATGCCAACGATTTGTGTCAGAAATGCTGTACACCACGCAGTTCTGTTTGGTGAGACCTTCTGGCTGACCTTAAACATTCATTTTATAATGATATAAAACCTTCTGATTTGTAGATGTACTATGTAAATCAGTATTCATGTGCAATTACAAATTATAATTATATCAAAGGCAAATTATTTTTACTGTTATCCCCGTACCTATGAATAATAAACATACCAAAATAAAACTTGGATACCTGGATAGTTGTAATGCTATTCTATTTCAATTTTAACAGTGTCATTTTATTTTTATTTATATGTATTTAAAAAAGAAGAATAAAAACATTGTCTGAAATATAACACTTTATCATTCCAATAACAAGTTTTGTATTTTTGCACATACCGGGAGCCCATTTGATAAATGTCGCTGGAGCACTTGTGTCGATCCATTTCCATTTTCCTTCAGAGCATTGGTCAGTCAATCCCATTAGCCAAGGAGCACTTGCTACAGTATGAGTAAGAATGAATTATACTATTTTAAATTTGTAGTCGCTATTTCAAGTTTGTACACACTATTTGAAATTGTATAATATACTGTGTTTAAAATTTGAATACACTGGAACGGAATATGCATACTTACTACTTGAATTGTAATAAAAGTCACTTTTTATTGATTTTACTTATAAATTCTTAATAAAAGACAAGTTTAATTAGAAATTCAGACTAAATTGGCACAATCAGTTCATGAACTTTTTTATTCTTGTCATTTATCAATAAAATCATATAACATTTGAAAACGTAAGATCTAATATTTATGTTTTTCATTTTCTTTTACTGTTTTATTTCTTTGTTTTAAAACATTTTCCCGTATATACAACTAATTTGTGTTTTGCTACAATAATTCTTCGCCGTAATTACTAATCTTCTGAAATGAAGAGAGTTTACAAATGTGTTTTTATTGTTATCAAATATGAACATTTTGATTTTTTGAAGCAGATTCATAAGGTCAATATAGGATCTAAGCAAATAAAGAAGGGATTGGGGTTTGTTACAAATATCCTAAAACCATCTGGCTAACAGAACAGTTACATATCCGTGATGTCATATTTTATTTCATATATTTTTATTTCTGCACGATGGCAATTAGAAAATCCACTTACATTTCAAGCGGTCCAGCATTCTGACTATGAACACATTTTCCGCTTCGTCCTGTACATAAAACAGGACAGATCCTTTTTGGTTGCAGAGAGCCTAGCAAAAATGATTTGGTATAATATCAAATTCATTATCTGTATATTATGGCTATACTTAAAAAGTAATGAGGGACAAACTTCATAGGGTGCACTGATATGTGAATCGGTTAAAAGGATAAATAAAACGATGGTAAAAATGAAGGAAAGGATATATGACAGATTCGTTTTATTAACATAACGGGTGTCTTTTCACACACGCTAAATACGCGAACGTCCAGTCTCGTTGCACCTTTTTTTAGCTGTAGGAAATAGGCGACGGAGATCGGTCTTCCTATTCGTGTTTTCCTTATTTTAGTCTTTTTGTACATTCAAAGTAATTCATTTCCAAAAGTAAAGTAGTATCACCATTGATTGCTTATTCAAAAGATATGTTTACAAAATAGTGAAAATTTAAATCAATTTAGTAACACAGACTTCGACTTTTGAAAAAGTAAAATTTTATATATTATTTTGTTCTTTTTAATGTTACAATGCATGTAAACTAAGAATGAATTTAATTTTATTTTTAGCCAAGTAAGATTTTCAAGGATATATATTTTACTGGAAGCCAACAAACTTTTTTAACCAATGCATATTTCAACCAATGCATATTTCGGTAAATAATATTAAATTGCCCCCCCCCCCTTGAAATTTAAATGTTTATAAAAACTAATACAACAAAAACTTGCGGAACAACGTAACGGTTGCTGATTCTAATTTCTTGAGCTGTCCTGATTTTTATGTCGCCTCTACGGAGAAGTGGCAACATACAGGGATTACTTCTCCGTTGTCTGTGTGTCCGGCTGTCTGTCTTCCCATTTGTCCGTCTGTCTGTCCATCACAAAACGTGTCCGGGCTTCTTCTCAGAAACTACTGGTTCAATTTCATCCAATCTTTACAGAAATGATCAGTACTAAGTTGAGATGTGCATATCGTCAAATTTTTCTGGTTCATTGATTTTTGTCAGAGTTACAGTCCTTTTATAATTTTTATTTTTAAGATACTCCTCTTATACCACTAATGTAATGAAACTTTACAGAATTGATTTGTAGTGCAAGTCCTTACGCATATTGCACGGGTTTTGGCCGCGTTATGGCCATTTAATAAAAAATGTTGTTTATTGTGTTGCCAGATACACAAAAGCATGTCCGGTTCACTTATAAAAAACTACTTGTGCAATTTCAGGAATCATCAGTACTAAGTCTAGTTTTGCATTTCATCGGCTTTTATGGTTCAATGATATTTGTCAGAGTAATTATTTTATTTTAAAGTTTGTCCGGACTAGTCCTGTTATACCAGTTAAGCAATTTCAATGAATCTTTACAGAATTGATCGGTAGCTTAAGTTCTTGTGCATATTACACAGGTTTTTAGGTTGAATGATTTTTTGCCGAGTTATGGCAATAATGAGGCGACACATGTGATCACAGATTGTTCTTGTATCTTAATGTTAAGGCAATAATATTTTATAAGTTTAAAGAAGAAAAAATACCAGGACAGATTCCACAGCACGGAATCCTTTATATGTAGAGAAATAATGTAGTAAATACGATAAAATGAGTAACTAACCTCGTTCAATACCTAAGTCATACAAATAAACATGAACAAAGATTTACTAATGTTTCATTGATAAAGCAATACATTTCATAGTATTTGATGATTTAATGGTATCGTGTATAAACTAAAATAGATTTTTTTGAAGAATTGAATAACTTCAAATTTAATTATGAGTAATATCATAAGTTCTTACGCACCCTCGCTTCTTCAAAATTACGAGCTGGAACAGTTTCAAAGAGGTAACAAGATCCGTTGTAAGAAACCCAACCATCAGCGCATGAGCTTTCGGAAAATTTCGTTGACATTTTGTTTGTACTTTCTCTGAAAATAAAACAATTAAATGTTCAGCACTTTATTGATACATGTCAATTCAGTTTGAATGCAAATCGGGTGAATTAAAAAGTAGAAAAATATGGCATGCAGACTGTTATACATATACATTTGATAAAGTTTTGAATTTGTATCCGTACCTTTACTTTCCTTTAATAATCAATGAAAAATCAAACCTTTGACATTTTCTCTCAAAGACTCAAGTCTTTTTTTCATGTCCGTCACAAGATGCTCCAACATGTAAAAATCATATTCCGTCTCGTTAAGGCACACCTCGTTTGCTTTTGCAAATGTCATATATCCGCAGACCAAAAATGCGCTTACTAAAGATATTTTCATTTTTTATGTGACACTGTCGGTGTTTATAGCAGAGACTAGTTGTTTCTAATGATTTTCAATATTCAAATCAGACTTAAATACAATTCACAACAGCGTCGGGATGGCTTGTAACGTGACTATCCGTTTGTATAAGATTTCTATTGCAACTATTGCATTAACATCCTTGTTTGTTATATGAATTCTTTTGAGTAAGTACCTTGATACAACTGCGTAAATCAAAAGGTCTTTTGAAATGTAGTACACATATCGTTTACTCGATTACACTTTGTTGTAGTAATTGGTCAAGTGAGTTAGACATATGAAAACTTTTAAAAAAAGAATTTGAAGAAGTTAAAAGTAAACTATTCTGACACAATACTCAAAATTTTAAAGGATTAGTCTAATCTTTTCATAATTTCAATGGATTTTTCCTTTTTGTACAAGTATGTTGTTTAAGAAATAATATATTACAAACAGTGATTTTATCAAGAGATAAAAAATCTCAAGCACCCCCACCGTCGCTGACACAGCAAAGTCAAGTTCATATAAATCATTATAACAAATACCCCAAATGTCCTCCTTAAGTTTCGAAAAAAAGTCACTGTTACCTCTGTCTAAGAATAAGAGGGATGAATAATGGTTCCTATCATAACGCTCTAACAAGGCGAGCCGTGCTATATTGCGTAGTCATGGATAAATATTGTAACGGCTGCCAATGATTCGGGTCCCTTTCTACGGATAACCTGGCTCAATTTTCATCTCATGGTATCAATATTAATTACATTTAGATTTTTTTTCCATTTCTAAACCCTGCAAGTTATATGTTATTTTGGACTTATTTCAGGCTAGTTGTTATAATGTTGATAAGTAAAGTTAATGTTATTTAATACAATAATATTTGAAATGATGACGATTTTATGAATTCAAATGCGACATTTTGTTAAATGATTGAAACATTATCATTTTTGGTATAATGAAGTGCTACTTAAACACAAGATATTCTATATACTAGAGGTAATAAACCTTTTGAATAAGCGTGACTTTAGTTTTTTGTTTGTGTCCAACTTAATTTCCTTCTTCCTTGTATAAGCAATAAACGACAAATGTATATTAGACATTATATCTGAGATCAATTGTGATGGAGAAATTTTGCCTTGCTCGAGGATCGAACAAGTGCCCTCAGGATTACAAATCCGATGTTATTCCTATTGATTTTAGCGGGGATGGAAAGGAAAAGACTTATATTGTTGTAAAAGGTTTAATAAAATCAAAATATTTTATACAGATTTTTTTATTCAAGTCTTTCTTAAACATATTGCAATAACACAACACATACAGGATAAGTAAACTGTGTGAACAGAAATCTGAAGAAGAAACAGAAAAAATAAGTTAAACTATCATATTGCAAGTGGTCGTTCGAACTAACTCTATTTAAAGAAATCACTAACAATTTCAACAAAATAAATTAAACGCTCGTATTTCAACAAAAATGTAATGAATTCTAAACATAAATCAGACTCATCCAATTTATTTAATAATTAAGATTTCGCATTTATTATCTAGCATAATTTGAGTAAAGAGAATGCCACACTAAATATTGATTACATTTAATGTCCATTGTATAACAAAGGTAATGTTTGTATAATGCTGCTTAACAAAAGTATATTCAGCAACTAATTTTATTATGTATATAAAAACACGCATACAAAAGCATTACATAAACGTTAACATCTCTAGCTATTTAAAGTACATTTGTATGTAATATTTATAAACAGCCAGCGTCAATGTTTGTAGACTCATTCAACATTCACAGAGATTTTTCTGAAAGAAAACATTATGCATATTATTTTAATCGTTATGGTCATGCATAAAATATAACATGAAATGAATATTGAAGTAAATGGTTTTTTTTTTATCGTTCGCACTGTATGAACACTTATTCTATCCTATTATAATGAACTCTATATTTACTTTCTTGTTTCCTATTTGGTATCAAATGTTTATATGCAAAATTTCAAACATCTAATAAGGTATCAATTTCTTTCAAAGTATCAAATTAAGAAGCGATTTTCAATAAATTTAAGGAAAACGTAAAATTTCTTTATTTTGATTTTTGTATATGCAAAATAAAACACGTCTGCATTCCGACAACAATTTCTGTAATAAATATTTTTATTTATTTTGTATAATAATTTGATTATGTTAACTCTTTTTTTAATTATGTGCGTTAAATCATACTGACCTTTTTTGCAAATAAATGAATATTTATTTGTACATGATAAGTCATGCCACTGATAACGATCACTTAGGAAAAACCCAACGCAATTTTCAACGGTGCGACCCTGTGGCTGACCTAAAGGTAAAAAAATAATTAAACCGTTTAATTAAAACGGAATTTGTTATGCTTTGTAACAGGTATTGTCTAAAAATAAACAATCGTTCTTTGTGTTATTGTTTATAAACAAATTGGAAAACATTTTATCTGAGCCTATCATAAGTTTTTACTGTAGAAAATAATAGTTACTCGGTAAATTTTTATTACCTGGTGCCCATTTAATAAATCTTGCCGGTGCATTTGTGTCTATCCATTTCCATTTTCCTTCTGTACTTTGATCGGTTAATCCATTCAACCAATGATTGTTTGCTATTTAATAATAATTGTTTACAGATGTAACGCTACCAGATATAATAGATATTATAATAATATAATCTATTAGATATCTGCAGTGGATTCTATTAATTGTTTGTTCCATAAATTATTTAATTGATTACCATTAAATACCATTAATAAATGAATCATCGTTTGATTAATTTATTTGATGACAGTTTACTTAATTTTCATAGAATACAAAAACGTACCGTAACGTAATTTGTAACTACTTTATTTACCATACGAAGCTTCCTACTTATTTGAATATAATTTTATGATATGGATCAAACATTCATATTTGTTATCAATTCAAATGCATGTTAATGCAAGTTCATCCGTTCAATTTAATTTTAATGAGGAATAAAAAATCGTATAACGAGTATGAAAACTATGAGAAGACATTTAAAAAGCTATGATTATTGGTGTTAAATTAAAGAAAATATATTTCTCACATTTGAAACGACCGAGCATTTTTACGATGATGGAGTTTTCGTCATTGTCTTCAACGTACAAAAGGTAAGCAGACTTTTTCTTGCAGAATTGCTAAAAGATTAAAGCAATTGAAAATAATAGTTAAATACTGTACGTTTCCTTTCCTTTTAGTATAGTCATTTTCCTTATGGTATTTTTACTAACCTAAAAAGTGCCTGGTTTTATTTTCTTGAAATTTTATCAACACAAAGTCTTTTATTATTAGTTTTTAAGTATTTTTGGTTGAAGTGAAACAAGACATTTCAGTTTACAGTAATGATACTTGCCCTTGCTTCTTCAAATGTTGCGGTTTTAATATCCTCAAAAAAGTAGCAAGAGTTGTTGTAGGAAACCCATTCATCACCGCATGAGCTGTCAGGACATGACGTCACGGGACATTTCGTTTTTATCACTTCTATAAATAAAATCAGTGGAATGTATACAGAAAAAATGACTAAAAATCAGTTAATGTTTTATCAATACGTCTTTGCGTTTTTGCAATTGCAGGCTTTTAATTATAAATAAAAATTGAAATGTTTGCGAACAATTTTTAAAACATTTTTTTTTTCAATAGAACTTTAAATCAAACCTTTGACGTTCTCTCTCAAAGATTGTATCCTTTTCTCAACATCTTTAACAAGATTCCCTAACATGTAAAAATCATATTCTGTCTCGTTAAGGCACACATCGTTTGCTTTAACAGATGTGAAACATCCACAGACAATAAGCGCACTTACAAAAATTATCTTCATTTTAATATAGATTGTGTTTTCGGCAGACTCACGCGATTAAATGAATTTCAAAATTTGATGCAGGCTTAAATAGCTGTTCAACATATCTTTAGATGCCTTAGATGTTTCTCACATCCATTGTATGAGCATGCGTGATATTTTGTATATATCAGTGCATTTACAAAACTACGTTTATCAAACAATCTTTCCCATCCGACCTATTTTTATAAAAAAAATGTGACTTAAAAGGACACATTTCTATGGTGGGATCAATAGCTTTTATGCAAAATTGCAAGTGATTCGCACAGTCATTTTGTTTCACGATAATTTTAATTGTACAAAATAAGCAAAAAATGAAAAATGTATAAACGCTTGGCAAAAGAAACTAGTTTTCTTATGTTTTTCATGTTTGGGTACGTTGTCATTTGACATTTGTGTATATGACTCCATTCTCTGCATATGAGTCATATATTTACTTAAAGAAAATCCCTGTTTTGCATGTCAAAATGAAAATTTCTATCAGTGCAGCATCCATAACCCAAACACATGCAGAGAGTCCATTCTTATCGTTGGCGTCCGCGCCGAAGCGCGGCGCCCTTATGGAATGAAATCAGATTTTGTGAATGGGCGACAGCAACTTCTCGAGCCTTTTATTATGACCACATAATAAAAGCCGATCATTCCGATCGGTATGAGGGTGCTTGATTAAAAAAATGTCTCGATATGTACAATGAATAGCGAACTGGAGAATTTCGCAATGCATGAAATAACCTTTTCCGTCTCTTCGTTTTTTTATTTATCATTTTGTAGTACACAGTGGGTTATTAGGGTGTGTTAAAATAGAATAATGAGTTGATGACCTAAACATTCCGAAAATCTATTTATAGAGGGATGTAATGCTATCGGTAATTCCCGGTCTCTCCCGGTCTATTTTGACCGGGATTTACTAGTGACCGGCGAATAGTATCACACGTTTATTGTCTGGTCTCTCACGTACGGTTTTGGAGTAGATGTTTGATATCGTTACAGAACAGAACAAATATTTTACAGATCATTAAGCTTTTTTCCAAAATGAATGTTTGTCACTTAGTTTGGTTACAATAATTAATAAACACAGATGAACTCATTATTATACATAACATACAATTCGAAAAAACCCAACAACAACAACAATAGCATGTTTCATTTTATCTTTATGAGATAAAAACAATAAATATGTGCAATAATTGAGCAAAAGGTACATTTTTACGGTATTAGTATGACACTATCAACTTTGAAACATTTTATTTAATTTGTTATTCGTGTTTAGTAAAGATGCCGAGGAATTATTCAAAGTTACAAATTAGATTTTATGAATTATTCAATTGATTGATAATTTAAAAAATGATAAAGAAAAATACAAATGTACATGTACATTGTTTAAGAATAAATAATATCATATATTGAAAGATTAAGAAAAAATTACTGACTTTTTCCAGTTAAGTTTTGATTTATAAGCGTCGGTCAATATGACAATTGAATTCTTAAAATTTATTTTACAATTTTGATAAAAAAAAGAGTAGTAAACGTAAAAACTCAGTATTAAAATAGCACATAAAACACAAAAAGAGAGGAAAGCAATATTCATAAAATCTGTATTTTTTATATTAAAATAGATATTACAATTATTGTATAATAAACAATTATGCTCAACATGATCAACATGGTAATATAACCAGTGTCATATTTTTACTAAGCGTGAACAGATACCTTAATAGGGGGTATTCGCTAATAGCGATAACATAATAAGAGACAATTCCACAAGGTGTTGATCATGCGTTACACATATGAATTATAAATGATGGTATACATGTATACCCGTTGCTATTAACAATCACGATCATTAAGAAATAACAAGTAATATTCTAATCTCTAGCATGCCAATCAAAGTTCATAATGAACAATGTCTTTCGTCCGTTCATTCTGGTAAAAACAAATTAACCATTGAAAAGTTTATAAGAATATATTGTCATCATATGTCTACTAGTTCATCTTCACTTTCTGCATTTCTTGTTTTTTCTAAGCAAAAACAAGGCAGTATCTACGATGACAAAAAGGGGACATAGGATATTCAGTGGTACTCAATGATACTCAATGATACTCAATTGCCTCACTATGGTTAATAATCATCTGGCTTTGTCGCGTAATGGCGGACAAGTTATCGGACACTAATTTATTTACTATGCATGACCATAGACGTCCTAACATAAGCTTTTTTCTGTTTAAATTTCATCATGGATATGTTTTTGACATTTTGGTAGAAAAACTGCGGGCAAAGGTTATATTTGATTAAGTGAATTTCAATTTTAATATTGGTGGTTCTTCTTCGTACGTCATAGCAGACTTTTAAGTGATTTTACGGGTACAAATGTGACGCTAGAAATTTTTCTTAGTAGATATATGACCTCTACTTTTCTCATCATTTTATATCAGTTTTATCATTACTCTTTAAAATGAGATAAGGGTTGGTTCTCTAAAAGTGTTATGTTTTGTAGCTCTTTGAAAATGTCAGTTTAATATAGAATATAAAAAGGATACAATTGAGCGGTATATGGCCTCATGAGGAACAAATGCGACCTCATCGGTCGTACGAGACAAAATGTACTCCGAGACAAATGTGCTCCTACAAAGCTTATCTTGTATATATATATATATATATATATATATATATATATATATATATATATATATATATATATATATATATATATATATATATATATATATATATATATATATTATTTATATATATATATATATACACAAGATAAGCTTTGATATTTGTGATTTAAACGTGTTACGAAAATATAATAGTAAATAATTATTTTGGTGCTTAGAAGATAAGGCTATATAATCATATATTTGTAAATATTTGTTTTTTCTTCAAATACAATTTCCTCACAAATACCAATTTGCTCAACAAAAATTGAAAATATTATATTTGTCACGTATACTTTTTAAAAATATTTAAAATAAACAAGGCTTCACCACGTACACAATGGTCAGTAAGATATGTATCTATCTTATCCTTTTGTTTACGACATACCAACTCCCATACTTGCTAGTTACAAATAAAGGTTTATATTTAACTCAGATGCGCAAAAAGATTTTTATTGTATATCAGAAAACTACATCAAAGTACCAGTGCTTTGAAAGACGACGAAATGAATTATCTTCCTTCACGAAGATGTAGAACAAAAACATACTTTGGTTTTTGTTTGTTTGTTTCATTTTACGCCTTTCCCAACAGTAGTTCAGTCATATAGGTGGGTACTTTCCTTACCATCGTTTCTGGAGAGTTACACCAGTACTAGACTACCTTCCTACGCGCTTGACTACCAAATCATCTCCCGGGGATCGAACCCACGCCAGAGAGGTAACTGGATTAGAAGTCATCGACTCTTACCCCTCGGGCACGGAGGCGGTTTATCCTTGGTACTGTAAAAATCTATTTCTCACTGGTGTCTTGCCGGAATACTTTCTTTTAAATTCAGCCTATACACATCTTGTGGTATGAAAATTATCATATTTCACTCGAGGCTACTGCCACTCGTGAAATATTTATATCATACCACTCGATGAAAAAAAATCCTGTACTTATAGAAAAAAATCAAACAATATTTTCTTTTGTTACTTTATTGTACACAAGGACATTTTAACTTCTCTGTATTTGGCTAAACTTCCTTCTTCCTCCATTTGTACTAATTTTATGAGAGTGATCATGAAAAACACGTGTAGGTTATATTAATCATAGATTATCTTGTAGAGGAAAACCTCATTCACATATTTCAATATTCCTAGCACGAGAGAGCACCTGACTAGAACGACTAATATTCCGTTCTACAGACAAAAAATAAATAAAGCCGTCCTGTTAGCTCAAAAGGTAGATCGTTGGACTGTGAATCGGGCAGCCCGGGTTCGTTTCCCGGATCGCGCAGTTTACTTTCGTTATGGTTGATCCTGAAATTCTTTTATATGGTTATTTGCACTGTACCTCTGCTCTGGCATGTAAAGAAGTAAACAGTTACTTGCGAAAGTGAAGGCAACTAGTACTGGTAAACTGCTAGACAGCCTGCCAAAGAACGATTCAGCTCCGGTAAATTTAATGTGGCTTACTGACTTGATCTGGAGTGAAAACTATCAACACTACCACCACCAAAGGCACTGGAACGATTCGAACGATACTTAAACAGTGGTTTGAGTTCAGCATCAAAGTGAAGTATACACTGTTTGCGAGTATATTGACTTATGCACTTTTAAATTAGTTTTTATAAAATAGAATAGTGAAATGTTGTAAATTATGAATTGTAGGTAAGCATTTGTTTTTAAATTGAACAAAACTTAGGGGTGATGGCCGATATTTTAAACGTCTTAACAGCTATATATATTTATATATCTTTATTCTTTTAAAATGAATATAACATTCAAGTATCGTACAGACATAAAATGATTTTCGAAACTGTTACGCGTAAGGAAGAAAAATTCTTAAAACAAATATGTAAGATAATGAAATAAACAAGTCTTTTCTCACGTAAACAAAATGACCTGATAGATCAACAAGAGAAAAACATCTCTCTGCCAACTAGATTAACAAAGACTTACAATGACGATGCGTCTTTACATTACAATAAAAAATGAAGAAACAATAGATTAGTATACAATCACTAGAGATAAAATAGTCAAACGTAGTATTTACGCTACCAATACAAGGGTAAAATCAATGAGATTAAGGAAGTTAAAAGTAGTTTTAGCATTAAATGGGACACTACAAATGCGTCGTATATTTTGCGATGATGTAAATAAAAAAAATAGTCAGCATTTTTGCAATAAGCTAAATGAAACAGTTCACCTTTTGCACTAACATCACTTGAACAGCATTTCATTTAAATCTTTAGAATCTTCTTTAAATCATTTCAAAGTTATTCCAAATGATATCTATAGGCTTTAACATATCTGACTTTTCCTGTTTTAGAACCGACTCATTATTGAATTTGTCTTACTTCCTTTTCATGATCAAGGAAATATTTTAGTTTACAAGAAATAAACAATATATCTTAAGATACTTTTAAAATGCAATTTTATAATAAAAGTTTA